AAAAAGGTAAAACTTGTTCAAATAATACAGGTCTGTTCCATAAATTTTGCACAATTATCCTTATTAGATAGTATTCCTCTCCATTAAAATCTCAACTAAAAAAACTATTGCGAGTAATAAATTATTCTTAATTAATAAACTAAACCAAAGCAAAACATCTGTCCCCTACCGCGCAGGCGTCAAATACACATAATTCGTGGCGTAAGCTCGTGGGTCTATAGTTTTGCGCCATTGTCTATGGCTTTTATGGCTGATGGCAGATAACCAAATTGATGGCGATGGGGGTGCGCGTGCGCACTGAATTTATAATTTAATCATTTTGATAGTTCTGAGCTGAGATTGTTATAATGGGTAAAAAACGGGCTTTAATGTGTTGGTTAGATTAGGGTGGCGTAGAATGTTAGTTTAATTAATGCTGTTCATATTTGGTCGATTACTTGTCATTTACGTAAAGTTTAACGCGTAATAGTAATGGATGATGCCGATTTTTAACCGACTTCAACAAAAGAAATGTGTAATACTCGTAGTAGTCGTAGTACTTATAGTTATAGGATACTTTTAAATACCCAGGACTATAGAATATTAGTGACAGTGAATTTCTTGCGCTGCTTCTTTTCATTTATTGACCCGTGGTAGTGGTAGGGTTAATACTGCGACGTGTAAAAGTGCTTTTTAAAAGCCTCCTTGCAAAAATAAAATGAGTTTTATGAGTTTTTTATTAAAATAATCTAATAAACACCAACTCCTTTTGGGTTGGCCATAAACTCCCATGTTTGGCCGAATGACTCTTCCGACGAATGCAATCAGCATACCAACAATTAAAAACGCATTAAATGCACCCGTTATATTTTAACGGAACTAAATTTGAACGCAATCGTTCTCGAAATCATTCATTGTTCTCCATAATATAAATAAAGGATGAAGTAAAATTGTAGTAAAATTTTTATGAACAACGAATATTTTTGGGCAAACTCAATCAGAAAATTCAAGTCTTATTGTATGGATTTATTTGCAGTTTCTTTCAAACTTGATATTCTTTCTAATTTTATAATGGTGCTATATCGCTCAATCGATGAAGTTCAAGTTTAGACCAGATTATAGGGAAAACTAACTAACAAAGTAGTCAACAAGTCTTATCACAGGAAACAAATGACAAGTCGCGCCTCAGTTGTGACTATGTCGACCGTCATGCTTCCGCTACAGTTTGTTAATTCTAGGGCTCTGAACAATGTTCTGACGTCAATCCCCTTCGATTGCTATCTATAGACGAACAATTAAAACCCCATTAATACCGCCCGTAGTAACATGTCCGAGCGACCGCAACGAACGCGGCGCGCGCGCATTGTCTCCCAAATAAAGCGCGCGATAAAACTTCAATAAAACAATTGTCGTGCTATTTTCGAAATAGGAGCTGTATCTCTTTGCTTTTTTACTTTTGAGACAATAAACGGTTTAATAATTCATAAGGGCCGCGCATGCGCGTCACGTGCGCGGCGAACATGGCGAAAATAATGCCATTCCCACGATCGTAAAATCACGATGTTTTACATGAATGCCTTACCGGGACGGTCTGGTTTTGTCCACGGTGATCTTTGGGCCCTTGAAGCATGTGGATTACCATATCTTATTTGAATTATTCTCTCCTGTAGACTGTTTTGATAGACTAGTATTTACAATGTAACAATGTTGTAGCATAACGTCCCCGAGTACGTAAGGAAATTTTTGATAATTAAAATTTTTNTGTTTAATAATTTAAATTTTTGGTAGTTTTAGTGACAATATAAATTAGGCTAGCATGTCCAGGCACCTACCGCGGCTTACAAAATCCGATACTAAGGTTCTGATTTCAGCTAGAGATATTGCAACCCATACGAGAGGAGAAGAATAAGCCTTACTCTATCATAATAAGCTTGAACTCTAAAAACACCATTAAATCTTAATCTTAAATTAATTAAGATTTTAAATATATTTTTTACCAAAAGAAAAATACTGTTTAAGTTTACGTTCCAGCTTGTGTGTCTTCTTAAGCGGTATTTAAGTGCATTGCTATTATGTATTATAATAATAATAATAATATAATAATAAATCATTCTTTATTCAAGTTACTAGGACTCAGTTTGTTAATAACAATTGCACTTAAAAACTATGTTAAGTAGTTGAGTTGAAACAGATGTAAAATTGAATTTAGATTTAGATTTAGAATTGAAATAAGTATTATAATAAATTATACTCATTTCAATTCCAAATCCACAAGTGTGAGGTTATGCATACATGAGTCATCCCCGCTTCACTCCATAGGCTGTGTCACAGCAATGCCTCACGTACACACAATCCAACCTGCTTGCAATCATGGTCAGGATGCTGTTGCCACTACTCCGGACCCTGCGCACCAGGGATGCACATTTTTTGCGCATTGTGGTAAAAAAGCAGTTGACCCGTGCCTCTGCAAACATCCCTGACGCACTACAGAAGCGGGGCAGCCCCAACAGCACCCTGAATGCATTATTGTACTGCACCCTTAGGGCATTGAAGGTTTTTTGAGTGTATCTAACCCACAGGCTACACGTGTAGAAGGAGGTGCAATATGCTCTAAAAAGAGCAATCTTGACATCCGCTGTACAGCGCGCAAACCTGCGAGCCAGCATGTTCGCTCTCACCGACAATGCCCGCCGTTCTCTTTCTATATCCTCATCATCCTTGAGGCCAGGGGTCAATACGTGACCAAGATATTTAAATTTATGCACTCTCTTCAGTTCAGAGTTATTAAGGAAGACCGGTGGTAATACATCGTGACGTCTACCCCTGGCCTCAAAGACCATGAGTTGGCTCTTTAAAACATTATAAAGTAGACCATGGGTCCCCGCATACTCCTCACATTTGGCCACCAATTTTCTCAGACCACACACAGACGCGCTCAGCAGCACCATATCATCCGCGTAGCTTAAGTTATTGACGCAAACTCCATCTATATGACAGCCGATTCTGGTGCTGCTGAGCTCGCCTATGAGGTCATCNAGACAACAAAGTGGAGGTTAAATGCGTAATTAAAGATATAAATACTAAAATAAGAAACTTAATCAAAATTCTAACAACGCCATGGGTCGGTATTAGAAACCAAATTATGAAAAGTGTTTCTATTACCGCCCTTATTTAAAATTGTATTTAAGCCACATAAATACAGCGAGAGGGCTATATTGAGGGTTTATTAAGGAAACTAAAGTACGAATTAATATTGTTATGCAAAAACATGTTGGTATACTCATTTTAAATGTGTTAAAATCGCTAATTAATAACAAGGTGCACCTTAAGTAGCTGGGAGCGCGTCAGTATGAAAAGTGCGTCCGTTGCGGGCGCGTCCCATTTAATGTGAAATAACTCCGTTTACTGGTTATTTACGAACACAAACTTTAATCGTTTTGATAGTCAATAAACATATATCTAGATATTTTTTAAGTAACGTGTTTTCTGGAACCTGTTATTATGTCTTTTATGAAAGAAAGAAAAATAGGGCGGTAATAGGATACAAATTTTGGGGGGTCGTTAATAGGCGCACTTACGTTATGCCTTGCAATTACCGTCTCAGACTTATTATTTCAATCAATCTCCAGTGTCACACTGATGACCAACCTGCGGAATGTTTCCTCCAAAATATTAAATTTAATTCCCCTTATTATTGGCCTGCAATTTAGCGAAAGATCACAATTTCATAAGCGTAAGGGTTACTACACATGTAGGTAAATGGGATGGCATTAATCGGTAATCTGGTGAAGGTCGCAGAAAGCATTTGGATGCGCAGGAATCGTCATTGTGGAAAACCTTAAAGTCTTTGTCTACGAGTAGCAGTGGACGACATTATGTTAAAGCGAATGAATATGTAGATGTCCGATCATTCAGTTCAGGAAAAACGCCGCTCGGCTTTTCCGCCCATATAAACTAGTCAATGTATCCGAACAAGTGTTGTAATTTTTTGGGTCGGTTATAGGGTTCAACAAAAGGCTAGTTTCCTAAAAAAATTTCATCCGTCCGTCATGTTTAATATCAAAAAATATTGGACACGTATATTTTTATTTGTCATTCTAACAAATAATTACCTACATAGTTATGGTGCGTTGAAGTTCCACGCGACGTCACAAAGTGCGGCACTTATTAGCACTCATTGACGTCATGGGCCTCTTCTTTTGAACTTTGGCGAGCTTTATCTCTTTAAATTTTCATTAGTTTGAAAAAGTGAAAAATACGTGTAGAGTATTTTTTGATAAGTTAACTGACGGACTAATCACAACTCTTGCTTATTGACCCAGGAAACATCCCTAATACTGCCGAATCTTCAATACCGACCCGCTTATGTGAGTAGCAGCCCTAATAAGCGTGCGCTTACACATCGAAAATTACAGTTGTAATTTCGCGGGGAATTCGACTATAATTCGCATACAATTTAATGCAACCGCACGCGCAGAGCAGCTCTCTCACGAATGTCCCCGAATGTGGGGGCATTAGGGGCGTCCCGGCTCTGGGTTAATTCGTAATGAGCGGGTTAAATCGGTAATGAAAGACCATCGGGGTGGAGTTTATTTGATAATCATAAGATGATCATAATTTTGCATAAAAGCTGGTATTTCTGTTAGCAAATGAAAGAGTTGAGAATGGATTTATTTAATATTATAGATTTCAGGCTATTTTAGAATTTGTGGCTCATGAATTAAGTCTGTTTCTTCAATTGTAAACCACTCAGTAGTAGACAATTTTCTAACAATCATACGGCTTGGTTATTGGTTAATGATCTAAGATCTACATAAATTATCTTAATCCCTATTCTCTACTAATCTCTAACGTGCTTAATAAATACAATGACGTAGGGATTAAGAACGCCAAATCAGTTGGACGCTGAATCCTGTTTACAAATTTCTCCATTATAATTAACAAATTATTATAATCTTGTATCTTTCAAGTGTGAAATAAGTCGTCAACTTATAATATTATTATGAAATAAAGTTGTTTACCTTTGACACGGCCGCCGAGAAACCAGCCTGGCACACGCCCGTCTTGCGTTGCCCGTGGCTCGCTGCGAATTAAACAATTATTTTAACATATTAATTAGCTAATTACATCGATGCCACCTGCATACAGAGATTATCAATAATGACTGTTATTATGCTGAAAGTTTTGCGAATGTCAAATGTTTAACGACAAGTTTAATGCCAAAACTTGAAATTATTTTGTTTATGGTTTTGAAAGGTTAATGGTATTTAGAAAAGTTTTAAGTTTTTGAGTTAAATGTATTCTATCTACAACAACATTCAAGAGGTTTTGTCATGTAAGATACATTAATTATTATTTAGTCCTATATTCTTGTAAGCCTAGGTGCAGACTGTAACGACTTTTTGTCGGCCGATAGTTTAGTCGGGCAGTTAATCAGTATGGGCATTACATCGATTGATTCTTCATACAAATTAGAATCGGGTCCAACTATCGGCCGACTAAAATTCAGTGGTCTGCGCCTAGGCTAAGAAAAAATATCAGAACTATTTCTATAAATCCTACATCGTTCTCTAATGTTTAATTGAATTAAATTATCATTTATGTTTGTGTGAGAGACGATAGTAAAAGAAAAAGCTTACACAAAACATCGATAGTGGTGGGATTACATTAAAAGTTAAGATGATTAAATTAACATCTAAATTGCAGTACAGTATACACAGTGCAGTTCTAACACCGAGCTACCACTCACCCTCGTCCACGTGGCGATATCCTAAACAAAGTACATTATGTAAAATAATGTCACACAATACATATAACAATACAGAGCACATACTAATGTAAAAAAATATGCAAATAACGAATAGTAATTACGAATAAGACAAAGTAAAGTTGAGCTTTTATAAAAGTTTATCCGTTTTAAACTGTGGTTTATTTTTTCATAAACCTAACACTTGTCTTCTACGGGACTCTCATCCGCAAATAGCAAGCATTGTAGTCTTGTATGCGAACACCAAGAGCCCGTTAAAGATGTTGTCAGCAGATAAGTGGATACTAAGAGCATTATTTATGAAACAAGTAACTCTTTAGAACTTAAGAATTTCAAGCCAAAATACAGATTAAGCTGTAAGCTATTAAGGGAGCTTACTAAACAAAATGGTCTACGTAACATTCTCTGCACGTCTCTATCACTTCTCATGGATGCTACTTTAATGACTCTTTTGAAGGCGAGAAGTAGAAAACAAATCTAGAGTTACTGGTTTTTCTGTCTGTAATAAGATTTTCTATTGGTTCCTTTTACTAAATAAGTAAGAATGAAAGTTCCATTTAATATGTGAGAAAAACTGATGAGTTTTATAGAAATATTCCGCAAAGTAGACCCTTATCGCCTTGAGCCGTCACCCTGGCAAGCCATTACCGGCGGAAGTGCCGGGGAATTCGCGCTTCGCGAGCTTTCGTAAGCTTTCGCGCCCTCCGCCATTATGCGACGTCAAAACAAAGTACTATCATCACATTTTCTAAATTCTTGAGGTTATTAATGAGCCAATTGTTTGGAACTTTAAACAAATTATTTAAGATACGGTGGGTGTCAAATATACTTAAAGCAAGTGAGGGCTTAATCAAGAATTTAATAATGATGCTAAATTGCTATTCTACTTTCTAGCCAAACAATACGATGCGAATCACAATACTTATTATTATGTTGACTAAACAAGCTTTACGTCCAAAACAACTTAAGTACTTAGAATCTATGTATGTACTGTAAATTTAGTTTATTTTCTTTCTCTAAACCTACATTATTTTATCCAACGAAAGAGATCCTAAACTCATTATACAAATTATGTATCAGACTTGATAACCAAGAGTATCGTCTAGACTACGTTGATTTTACATGTATGACATTTTTGCTTCACTTGAAACTCAACTTCAACATCAGATCAGATTATCAAAACGTCAACTTACTGGTCCTGCAGGGCGAGATCTCCTCGACCTTGATGGCGTCAGATGTCTTGGCCACGTAGCAGGTGCCCACCGGGTCCCGCTGGTTCAGCTTGTGGGACACGAACGACACGTAGCGGGGGGCACAGGCCTGGAACAATGCGAAACAAATACAATTAGTTGGTAATACATATTATGGGAGCATTAGGATCCTGGTGTTACTTGTTTTTTGCTATGGGAAAGGTCCAATAACAAATAACAAGACCCATAACATAAAGGGTTACGTAGAGAGATTTAGTGATTTGGGAAAAATCAATTCTAAACCACTAAACTAAATATTCTTTTCTTACTTGTTCAACCCACTCCGGTTAAGCGGTCGACAGTAACGAACCCTTTGAATCGGCAGGGCACTGAAACTATTGGGACATTTTCGCCACTTAATATGTCATGTATAACTGGAAAACTCCAACGAAGAAACTCTTTAAGTTTCAGAGTCTATTTGTCACTGTAAGTAAGTAATGAGACAAAAATCCAACGACGAATTTAAGTATGAAATATCTTAAATATCAAATATCATCCAAGTATTGGCTAAATGTAAATGAAGCATCTTTGGACTCCGTTATAACAAAACGATAAACTCAATTTAACACAACACAACTCCGACTAAATTGAAAGTGAAATTAAACAACAGGCTCAGTCAAAACCTTGTTATTTAATTATAATTTCTTTCATCTTTGTCTCAAACATACAGTGTAATAACATGTTTACTTCCGAGAAACCAACCGTCAGGGCGTTAAGTCCTGTCAGAAATAGAGTTCTAAAATAATCCCGGGGTATGAACTTGAAAACTGTTCCGTAGTTAATCTCCACTAGCGCTGTAACGCGGTGTAGCTTAACTAGGGTTCTCAAGTAAAGTTAATAACTCAACTTATACTTATTTTGCCTTCCTTTTTACAAAACGTTTGCACGAAACAACATGACTTGGTGGACGAAAAAAGTAGTAAGATTTTTTTACTTCGATAGCTAGCTATGTAGCGAAGTAAAACCTACTCTGTCAAGTTTTTCCGTTTTTAATTATTATTTTTGTGTTACAATAATTAATTTAAAACACTATTGTAATAAATCTTTTTTTTTTAGGTGTGTAAAAAGTCCTTGGAACTTATACTACTCCATCAAGTCCCACAAAAGCAAAGCTCTAAAGAGTAGAACTTTATTTTATATTATTCTAATTTACTTGTAATTCCGAAACCCTTTAAGTACATAATGTTAATTTTACAGAATAACATTTTTTTTCCAAAGAAAATATTATTTTCTCATCCACCAACCCTACGCACACTTCCCCCCGGGCTGAAATGGAACGAAAACAGTGCCACATGCGCGTGCGCCGGTGAGGTTAATAAAGATCACGCGCCGCGACATCTGGCAGGAACTGCGGATAATCTCGCCGATGCATGGGGAGTTTAATTGAATTACGATGATATATTTTGTACTGTTGAGTAAATACAGATAAATAAATGTACTTGTTAAACGCCCCCTTAGTCCCATGACTCAATCTTACATTAGCTGATTCAGACAAAATTCAATTGTCGAAATGGTGATGGTGACGTGACCAAGATTTAAACTCTAGACCACGCTGTGAACTACGACAGAACGTGTCACCATGCCAGGGCGTGCGGCTTCTATTGAAGATGGCTTCTTCTCAGCACCAGCCCATATGTTGTCCCGAAGTGGTGGGTAGGGCAAGCTTTAGGTCGTGTATAAGTGCCCTGAAAAGGGCCCTGTATCTATACTAATATTATAAATGCGAAAGTAACTCTGTCTGTCTGTCTGTCTGTCGGTTTTGCTTTCACGCCTAAACCACTGAACCGATTTTGATGAAATTTGGCATAGAGATAATTTGAGTCTCGGGAAAGGACATAGGATGGTTTTTATCCCGGTTTTTGAAACAGGGACGCACGGGATAAAGTTTTTCTCTGACAGACAAAATTCCACGCGGGCGAAGTCGCGGGCGGAAAGCTAGTACCTACTGAATAAACTATATATTTGATTTGATGGTTTATGGATAGCAACTCGTAACGTTTGACACGATAGAAGAGTGACTAATGACGAGCAAAGTGAACATAATTCTCGGGTATACATACACAGTTTTAACGGTAGAGTGCCTAAAAAAGCTGCCCAAAAAGGGGTAAACACACAAACAAAGATACAGGTCAACCCGACCACACTCGCCGCCCTTTATAGTCGACAATAAAGCCCGATCCAACAGACCAGTCGTTAAGTTTTAACGATGGCCCGTAATTAGTTTACGATGGCTCAACTTATCAATGGCTCCATTTGGGACACTTTTGGGAAGTGTCGCGTGGTTCAACGAACCAAGATAGTGGATGAAGCTGACTCATGGGATGAGTAGGAAAAGCAAGTGTACATAAACGCCTGCGTTCGATAAACAAATCGCTTTGAGTCATCTAGCAACTTTGGTACCACAATAAAATATATTGTTGTCTGCATTGAAAATAGCTTGACTACCATAATTTATTAGTACCAGCTTCGAGAAATTATAGCATTATGTTATGTGCTATTCTTGACGCGTAAGGTATAACATTGTGACTTTGCATCAAAGTTAATTCAGTAATTTATGCGAGAATGTACGATAATTCAAATAGGTACATGCTGCATGCATCTTCGCGAACATTCTCTTATCTTAATTGTGTATTCCAAATTTATTTTTTTAATGATTAGAAGCACAGTTAAGGAGTTAATGAATCAAACCACCATTAAACTTGTTGTGACTCACAACAAAACCCATCTCATACTTTTGCGCATTTCTTTGCAATTCCCAAGATTTATAACGCAACCGCGATAAGTGCCTCGACGTTTAGTTCGCATAAATTAGTTATGCTAACATTCGCATTTCGGATGATTCAGCAAAGTGTCACGCGTGAATCAGCTGGCCCTAACGACCGCAGACGGGTTGGGCCCTTGACCTTTACTGAACTTTGAAGATCCTTTCGTTATGGGTGGAAAAGAATCGCGGAAAATAATCGAATTGATGGCGCGATTTTGAGAATCGTCTTCGCTTCGTTTGACAACTCTGAGGGTAGAGCTTGTTGTTGCTAACTGAAAACCACTTTATATTTGCTAAACTCAGTGTTAGCTACCACACGTTATTTGAAAATTCTTGAAAAAATAAGGGCAATCCACCTATCGGTGTTCCGTGTCCGAAACTACATATTCAAAACATTGTAAAAAGCAACTTTAACTGATTTCATCAGTAGGAGGCACTACTAACCATTTCTTTGTACCTACACGCATAGCATAATTTTACCATGGCCCATCCGGGAACCAAACACGATGGAGACTAGACATCAATAACCGTTATGAAACATCTAAAAGCAATCGCGCCAATAACCAAATCGTAAATAGTAAAAATCGGACAAGTTTCATCACGGAATTCAGAGCAGGGTTCTGTATAATTTTTAAGCGAGACTTTCGGTTGCTTTCTTCTTTTTCAAAATCACCTCTAAAGTAACGAAAAAATTAAATTATTTATAACACTACAATATACTCGTAATCCAAAACATAGAGAAGATAGAACAGCTCTATAACTCTATTACTACTGAATCCCAGAGACCTTTCTCTCGGTAACCCAGTTTTGCTGGATCCAGTAATGCAGGGTCCCTGGTCCAATGCAAAACTGGACTGGTTCGGGAACAAGCCCATAGGTAGGTACGGCAATGTATTATTAGTATGAGAAATGCCTCCAATTTTCCTGCAGATCCCTAAAATCTGAGTTACACAAGCCGCAATTGACACAGTACACTCGGCCTATATTCGTTACGAGAATAACCGCGCGCGCGCAAACTCTGGACACAAAGTAGGTCAGCCCCATATTGATGTGATCGGTCAATGGGAGGTGGTGTTACATAATAACACACCAAAACTGATGTAAGTCATTGATTGAAATACCACTGATTGGGTACAACTTCCATGATTCTACTGTTTTTACAGTTCAGAAATACATTTGGAGTTTTGGTGTCTTATGCGATATTAAGAGTTATATTTAGCAAATCTTGAATCATTTTCCATTATTAATGGCTTGAGAGCTTCATCATCATTAAGATAATTTAGTCTCCACTGCAAGATCTTTAATTTACCACCTCCAAATAAAGGATTTAAGGACTTGAGGGCTTCATCTTAGTGACTTATTAATTTCACCTATTCCTTTTTAGTCGTTCAAAATCAAAATAACCAATCACTACACGCCAAACGCCGCCTATTTGTCTCTTCAGCCCATTACTAAAGGCCTGTAGCAACAACTACTAAGCTCCAATCCAACAGTAGTTTTATTACCGAAATAAAATAAACGTCACAGTTACTGCAATCTCGTGACAGACGTGCATGAGATGGAACTACAAAGAGCGCATTGTGTTTTGATTTACAGCGCAGGCGATTGACGGACGGGACGCGTGCGCTGTGTTGTGAAGGAAGAGTGGTAGGACAAGAATATAACTGGTATTGCGTCAGTTAACTATGTCAACAAGAGATTTTGAAACAAAGGAGTTAAGTATTAGGACAAATAAATAAATGAAACACTTGTAGGGTTCTTAGAAATAAAGGCAACAAGTTGCACTGTGACTTCTAGGCAAATTACAAGAGTTTAAATTTAAAGTATTTTCCAAGTTCTAAACTAAAGTTACTGTTAGGTTAGTTCTACCGTTCCTAGGAAAGTAGCAATCTTAATTATCCACATTTACGATTATAAGACTATAAGTACAAAACCAAAACATTAGGCAAATGACCGATTAATCTGTATTTGTGTAATCATCCCGTATCCACTCTTCTTACTTATCTCAACGTTTTAATAACAATGACCTAAAGCGGATGCGATAAAGTTTTATTGCGAATCTTTTTCTGCTTTTGTTTTGGCATTAAATATGCAAAACGAACATTCATATTTGAAGTTCAATGTTAAAATCTTTAGCACTTAAAAATTTAAACTAAACGGAATATTAACTTAAAAATGCAAGAGGAAGAAATAAGACAAATAATAATTAAGTATCCGTTGCAGAAACATCAAAAGGCAATTCGTTATCGAGCTCGAAGCCCAAAACAAACAGCTGCGGTTCAGGAATGCTCGTTGGAAATCAATTG